TCCTGCCTCAGCCTCCCAAATACTAGGGTTATGAATGTGTGTCACTATAACTGAATCCTTTATTAAGTAAAATAAGGGTTGCTCCAACACAAGCACCAAGACACTGCAAGAGTCAGTTGATCTACAAATAGACACAGTTACTAAGTGATTGCCACAATATGCCACTTCGATACCCTGAAAAATGGATGTTTTATATCCTGGGCAAAATGGAATCGGACAGCTCAAGTTTTTATCACACTACTCAAAATGATACACGACTTAAACTTTATGAATTCTTTTATTTCTAGAATTTTTCCATTTGACAATTTTTGCAACTTGTTAGACCTTGGGTAACTGAAACATCAGAAAAAGAAGCCAAGGATAGATCTCCTTCCTACCTGATAGAGTTTGTTCTTTTTTATTTTGTTTGGTTTTGCACACCTGGAGATTTAACCGAGGGCCTTGTGCCGAGATACCTCCCCACCCTAAGCTCAAACTTGAGATCCTCCTGACTCAGCCTCTCAGTGTTCAAGGATTAAAGTTTTGAGGGATCTTGTAAAGATTCAATTAATGATAAATGGGGAATCAATTCTAACTGATTTATAAATCATTAGGTCCTGCGCTTCAGTGTATTTTAAATTTTGATTTAAATGACTTGATACTATTGTTCAAATTCATAAAGCATGTTCTTAGTAGACACCCATGATATATTAACATGTAAAGCAAAAATTAACAGATGATAACAGATCAAGAACCCACTCTATTTAGGTTTTCAGGGGGTATCTTTATGGGTAACTCCATGGTTCCTGGTTTGCAGTTCTGTAACCTTGGAAAACCCTCGTGGTGGACACTGCCTCAGACTGGGCATGAGTTTCCTTTTCTATGGAGCAGTTGTTTGCTGATATCTCCTTGGACTCCGGCTGCCATGGGGAGCATGCTTACAGTAGTGCCAGAGGTTAGACAAGAGGTATGACAAGTAGTATTTAATAGAGGGGAAAGAAAGTCCCCAAAGTACTAGATGTCCAATGTGTGTTCATGTTCTATAAAATCAAAGAATGAGTTTTAGGAACAATGGAAGTTAAGAACAGAATATATTTATTGAGAGAAAGAAAGCTTCTGTCAGGGAGAGAGGGAGACAGAAGGGGTCCTGAGCTGGTTGCCCGAGACTCTGTCTTTTCTAGGCACTTTTATAGCACAAAACCACAAGGTGAGATGGGTACAAGGTGAGGAAAATACAGGAACTCACAAGGTGGGCATGAGGTGGGACAGAACTGTTAATTGTTCAGGTAAAATTGACCAAGTCCGGGACAGATGGTGAAAGGCATGCTTAAAGAGCAGTGACTCTTTCTATAGGGGGTTTGGGATGGTGGCTGTGGCTTCCTCAAGGTGATGGATACCTATTTAGAATATCAATCCCTGATGTTTATACTTAGGGTATGCTTGCATTTATTTTGCCTTTTGTCTTGAGATCTGGTCTGCAGCAAAGGTGTCTGTCTCCTCAACGCTGTAGGTATCTGGCCTTCTGCACTGGCTCCTTTAAGGGCCCAGCCCTCTCTGACTGCCTAGAATATTTCTAACTCAGCTACCTGTAACAGCATCAAGTCACAGTCTGTACTGGACAATGCAGAGTTTGATTTTGAAACACATTTGGCCCTGGAATTTTAATGTACTTGCACTCACTGATCTTTGAGGTTATAGTGCTGTGAGATAAAAAACAATAAATACCCAGCCCAGCTCTGAAAGAGAAGACCTGGAGTCGTTTTCATAAGAATGAGTTTGGAATCACGCAGAAGCTCATGGCAGTAGCTCCCACCATGTAGGATGCCACCGAGGAGGCCAGAAAGTGGAAATAATTTGCAGAACTATGTGAGCAAAGGCCAGAGAATTTATACGCTGAAATACTGAACATGCATGAGTTTACACTATCAGCAGAATAAATGGTGTAAAATACTTCCAGCTTTAATTGGAGGTTGAAGAATATTTGTGGTCCTGATTATTCCTAACAATATTACTAGAGTCAGCATGCCCTCATGAGCGTGCGGTTGGTTGTGCTCGAGAGAGCATCAGCTAGGAGACGGGCAGAGCTGGTGGTTTCCGATGCTGTGGGTTACAGAGGTGCTAGGATCATCACAAGTGTAATCAAGACGTGTGCTAAGCTGTGTGTTATCCCTCATCATTTATCCAACCAACTGGAATAAGCTAACAAGAGATTACAGGACTGGGAGAGGAGGGGTGAGGGGAGAAGACGATTTTCAATTCCTTCTAACACCAGTCATTAACCACATAATAAATTAGAACACTTTTCAATTTAATGAGCCAAATTACCCTTCTTTTCATTAAGCTGAACAAGTCAGATGAGCTCTTACGGTCATGTGGCCTATCTTCAGTTCTCTTTGATGAAGCAAACGTGAATTTTTTTTTTCTTTTTGCAAGGCATTTTCCTTGTCCAGAATTCAGTATTCATATCTAAATGTGGGGGTGGGGGCAGCAAAGAAGCACTGGGATAAACTTAGGTGCTATGGAGCTTTTTAAAGTTTTTTGGCAAACTTCTTTTTCATAGTTTGTATTCCTGTAATCTGCTTTCTCTCATATATCATATATATATATGTATATATGCAAAATAACACATACATGTAAAATATATGTAAAACAGCACAACCTCTGGCAGTGTTATACATATATAACACATATATGTATATGCTACATACATTTATTCATGTACACATACACATGCTTACATACACTTGGTGTATGTATATGTACACCTCTTGGTATGTCTATATAACATCATTAGAATGTGTATTATGTTATGTTGAAAATAACGCTAATATACAAATTTTCTAGACCAGTTTCATTTTAATCAAACCTATGGACACTTTCTCCTCTACCAACATGTGATTCTGTCAAGAGAAATTTTCTACCCATCCTTTGAACTGACTTTCATTCTGCCTTTACACATGGCTGTTTAGCCAATGCCTTTGTAAGGGATTACCAATCATGTCATTATTGTTGTAAGTTAACAATAAAGAAGGAAGTAAAAGAACAAAAAATGTTTTAACTGAGTGAAGTACATTCACATTGACTTGTTTTGCCTTCCTCCCTCCACCTTTGTGCAATTTTATTAAAATAAAATGTAAAGGACTACCAGTTTTAAAAATAGCCATTTTAAAATTGTACATTAACCTGTTCAAACAACAGTCTGTTTGCAGACTTCCTTGACAGTCTCTTTGTGAGGGCATCTCAACCAACAGCAGATGTTTCTTCTGTTGGTTTGTGTATCACGTCACCTGGGACATAATTCTGATGGCAGTCTGGCTTGGAGGACATGGGCACCATTTCTGTATGTCAGTGTTTACAGCTCTAGCTGTGTGGACTCCTGGATGCACTGAGAATCCTCATGATTGCAAAATTTAACATGAGGAATATCGTCTGTGTGTTTCTTCCTGTCCATGTTCCTCACAGTATAATTGCTTAGGTAAAGTAGTGGAGGATACCTTCCCCTTAAGTATCTGTTATGGATTAAGAACTGGTGGTCAACTTAACACCAGCTAGATTACATCAGCATGGCACTGAGCGTAGATGCTCCCCCTGAGGAAAGTTGTCAGCATAAATAGGTGGAGAAGGAGAAGGAAGGTGTTAAGGCATTAATGCAATTTTGTGTTGAGGCATTGTGGGTTCTCCTATGAGTTGATGTTTGAGCCATTGATTCTCCTGGAGAAGCTTTGGTCCTCACATCGAGCATTGCTTCCTGGCTCCAGAGGGGAAGATGTGTGCAGCTTGGTCTCCAGGATGAACTCGTCCTGCTGGCTGGCTTCTTGGCATGTACTTGACTGTATTTGTCATTGGAGGAGCTCGGGGCCTCCATGTCACTGAGGATGGCTGTGGTACCTTTCAGAACAGCTCTGGTCTTTTTTGTGAGTGTGACTTCTCGGCTCCAGCGCAGAACCCTCATCCCACCAGCACAGGTCCTTCACCCCACTGGCATGGACCTTTTGGCTTCTACCACTGACCTTTGGGCCGTCCTGGCATGAATACGTAAAAGACACTGGTGTGAGTCCTTCTTGTGGGCTCTGGACTCCAGTTGGACTCGTGGGAGGCATTATCATGAGCTCTGGTTCTTCATCTGGACTCATGTGGGACATTGCTGTGGGATTTAGGCCCTTGACTATTCTATGTCTTTGGTGTTGTGGGTAGATTTCCTGCATTTTCTTGTGTTAATTCCCGGTGACCATTATAAAAATAGTATTACGAACCCCAGACCTGATTCTAGTTGTTCTCTGCAAAACCCCTAACTGCAGCAGTATCAATACTCCCTCTGTTTCTTTTCCTCGCTCCTCCCTTCCCTTCCCCACCCATCACCCTTCTTTGTGGATAAGTGGAGAGTACAGAACCCCTTCTGAGAAAAGCTTATTCTTCACCCAGAACTTACCTTTCTTCATGGCTTTGGAACAAAACCCCTGTTCTGCATACACGGGAACCACTTAGCCAATAGAGGAATTTTTGGGTATTCTATTTATTTTCAGATTTGCTGAGGAAAATGACAATTTCTGATTCTTATAAAGTAGGACCTCTCATGCTCAATTCGGCAGCACAGATACTAAAAACAGGACCTCTGCTGGTGGCGGGTGTTTTGTTCAGTCACCCGTAAACCAAACTTTCCACTTAGATTACCTAAGAAATCCCACTCTGATATTGCATGGCTTCTAAGACATGCCCCATGCATGCTACAAATTCAGGACCATCTTAAGTAGCATAATCTAACTTTTCAGCTGTTGGAGAGATCTCCTGATTCTGCCCAGAATTCCTATTATAGTGGTAAGAGATAGGGGCACAATGACTTGTTTTGCTCCCAAAGTAGCTAGCTCCCCAGCCAGATGAGCCTCCAGAAACGGTAATTTAGGAGGACCCAGAGCATCTTAACACCAGGATCTTAACACCAGGAGGGAACCTGCTCACTGACAAAGCCACCCCACTTCTCTTCAATTGGGACCTGTGCTGATGTTGGACCTTCTTTTCCACAGAAGTGGGTGGATGGAGGCCTCACCAACAGCCTTCCCATCTTGCCTGTGGGCCACACAGTGACCATCTCTCCTTTCTGTGGACGACTGAAACCCCTCCCCAGGACAAAAGACAGTTGGATTTGTATATTAACATCAACAATCAGGATATAATGGTGAGCAGTGGCCTTTGGGGACATTGGCCAAGTCCTAATCCACTGAAGTCTCCTCAGAATCCAACATGCATCCTCTACACACTGGAAGCTCATGGATCATTTTATTGTACACGTTGTATTGCTGAATACCATGTTTTCCAATACCTTGCAGCTCAGATCATGCGTGGGGGTTTGGTTCTTATGCATCGTCAGGATGCAGGTTCTTTGCAGCCAATCAGCTCTCAATTGCTATAGTTTTTTCCATCTTCTTTTTCACATCTATAAAAGTGCAATGTCAAAACAACTTAAGTCATTTATTTATTTAGAAAGATGGGGTTAATGAAATATAAAATCATAGTGGAGAGAGAAGGAGGGACTCAAATTAACAATTAACATAAAAATATTGATTCCCTTAGCCTAATCTATTGGATGTCAACATGGAGCAATAGCATATCCCAAACTATCTGGTGATGTTCAGGGTCCTTTTGGGTTGTCACATCTGGGTACCACTACAGGTCTCTCCTGTAGTGAGACCAGGGATACTGCAAAATCTTCTGTAGTGTCCAGGGCAGCAGCCATCTAAAACTGCGCACCAGAAATATCAACAGTATCAAGGCTGAGACACCTTTCACTGATCTTTTGTGTGGAATTCACTTTTTAATGATTTTCCTACTGACTTTCAGGTATTGCTAATTGTATCTGTAATAAAGTTTAGCATATGTCTTAGTTACTTTTCTCTCGTGCTGAGATAAAGTACCCAACACAAAATGCAAGAAGGAAAAGTTTATTTAGCTCACAGTTTGTAGAGATCTCAGTCCATAATCAGCTGGCTCCAAGGCAGGGTGGCTTGACACAGGGGCTACTATTCAAAGCAGCAGAAGACAGCAAAGCCACAAGAGAAAAAGGAGAAGTCTCTTTTCCTCCCTTATACTGAAAGTAGACTGTGCACCATAGGCCGGGTCCTTTACACCAACTCCCTGACCTCCTCTTGCACAAGCTCAGGATGTTTACAAAGTGAGGTCCCTGGACCCCTGCTGAGTCATTTCATTAAACTTCTAAACCTGTCAAGTAGACACAGCAACAACATCCCAGAGAAGTAAGGTCTTGTCCTCCACACCCCATGATGTAGAACTGCTGAGCCACTTGGCTAAGCTGCCAGACTCCTCAGTTTGACAGGGTATATCTGCCATGACAGCATACATGCACAGCTAAATCTGAACACCATCTCTTTATCTGTATGGTAATGTTCTACAGCTTAGACTTCACCTTTCTCTTGCAGCTGTCCCTGGCAAACCTGGTGAGGCTGAACCAATCCCTCTTCACACCAACGCAAAAGAAAATGGAGTCCTTTTATCGATGTGGATTTAATGACACTGTTAAATTTTTACAGAAAGAAAACTGGTTTGAATAAAATACCTAAAAGTGTGTAGCCCAAAATAGGTTTCCGGCATCTTTAGAGGGAGATTTCTATTTAAATCCTTTGTAGAAAAATCTTATCAGGCTTCTGGGTCAGTTCATTATTACTTGTTGTACTCCACTCAAAAAACAAGGCCCCATGATGAAAACTGGGGCAAGACCCCAAGATGACAAATGGAGCAAGACGTCTTTTTTTAAAAGAAGTGCTTTTATTTTAGCTGGCCCAGCGACACAGTGCAGATGGAATTTGCAAAGCTGTGCAACTGAGTTAGAGTTTTGACTGATTTTTATAGTTCATTTATGATTAGCTTATTGATCATTAAGTATATAGTGATGAGAAACAGAAATAAGGTGGGCCTTTGTTCCCCTTTGCTTGAGGTCAGAGGCATTTCACAGTGGGAGGTTAGCCAATTCATAGCCCTTGGTCTGCCAATTCCAGGAACATTTGTCTCTCATAAAAGGAACAATGGTTGACACAGCATCATTTGTCTCTTACAAGGGAAACAAAATTTGACATTGCACACAGTTCACTAAGGTAGGGGGGGATGACACATTACAGAACAGCAGAATGACGTGGTCAGTTAATTTATAACTATGTGGTTGGTGCTTGGTTACTAGGGTTATGAGCTCAGTACAGAATGACAATATTACTAATAACTATCTTTTTAAGTAACTGTTTTTTGTTAATTATATTTTAATCAATTATTTTAATTTTTAGCATCTTAGTATAACATTCCCCACTGATTTTTGTCAGTTATCCAAATCATTGGCTCATGGAATTTTTAAGCAGTGGTATTTGTTCATAAACTTGTGTCCTTAAAACTATGAGTTTTATTGTTTGAACCTGGTCTTTGACATAATTTACTTATCTGTTTATAATGCAAGGTCCAATTGTTAAACAAGTAAGTAAGATTACCAGAGGCCTGGAGGCTGCTATGATTTACATTGTCAACCAGGGAGATAGAGAAAACCGTCATTTAAACCAATTCTGTTTAGCTTGTCTGGCTTGTTCTTGTTCCTGTAGCCACCTTTTAAGGCTGGCCATACTTTGTCTGATAACCCCAGAATGATTGGCATACAAACAACAATTTTTTCTTAATGCCAGGCAGAGACTTCCTTTCTTTAGGAACAGGAGATCTAGACCCTGCCGGTTTTGTAAAACCATCTCAGTCAGTGAACTTAAAGAATCGTCTAATTTGTCTAATTAGTGACAGAGTCACTAAGGGCTGCTAAATCTTGGTCAATGAGCACACGTAAGTGTCTATAATTTTGGTCTTTTGACTATTAGGCTGGACACTCTTAAACTTATTGACCTTGTTATCTCAATTTTTAGTAATACAAGTAGTAATACAGGATTTTCTCTTCATTCGGACCAGCCTCTTTAAGTCAAAGCTAGGGAGCAAATGACCCCTACCATTATCTCCAGAGTACCAATACACTTGGGGAAAAATATGAACCAATATGCAAAGCTCTGGGAGCTGGGTGAACAGGTGATGCATAGAACATGGAGTTATGCCAGAAGTACAGGCAAACCAGGTTCCGTTGGGAGCAAAAAGGTGCTGATTAGCAAGATAGGAAAAATTATGAATCACAACTGAAGAGGTTAGATTACAGAGTGCAGCATAAGGGGAAGTGTGCAAGGAGTAGGAGGCAGAGTAAATACAGGTTCCTGGAGCACCCTGTACATTGTCTAGTGTGAGCAGGGGCTTAGCATCCCACCAACAAAAGGTGTGTCTGTACAGGAATTTAAAAGTTAATTTGCCATAATTTGGCAAAAAGGTCTCAGGAGCAGGAAGTCTAGTGGAGGAGAACAGAAGATGGGGTCTCTAGAGTGAGGAAAAGGGTAACAACCCCCTTTATTTTTTTGTCACGGAGATACAAATTTACAACCCCAATGTCTACAAAAATATTTCATCTTTACGGACTGTGAACACCTATGATCAGAGGCTGGCTGTTGGTTTTGGGATCAAAGATACCAGCCAGTGGACTGTAATTTCTTTTGAATACATAGGTCCTTGTAAGTCTCCATTAGCAACCAATCAGGCAGCATGACATGCAAACCCAACAACATTTTTTTTGTTTAATTTTTGCTGGGATGTTATCTAATAGGGAACATAAATCTATCTTAATTATCTCATAGACAGTAGCATTGGCTACCAATAATTTACCAGTGAAATAGTCAATAATTTTAAGTTTTAAACAGTGGATTACAAGGTATCTCCTTGGGGTGTCCATGAGGAATAATACCTAAGAACAAGATTATCAGATACATTTGGAAATCTTAAGCTTTAAAGAATCCTTGGAAGGAACAACAGTCCACTTATCTGTAGGTTGATTGCTGTCAGAGGCCAAAACTGGCTTGAGGTGGCAATGATGAATAGAGGCAGGCTTTTTCATGACTTTGACAGCAGTCAGAGTGTTAAGGACCCCGGTGTAAGGGTCTTCTCACCATGGTTTGAGAGACTCACGGTGATGTCTCTTGATGAGTAGTGTACTAGGTTTCACTGCAGGATGTTCATCCTCAGGATGGGCTGCAGGCAGAGGTTGTTGTTCTCAGAGTAACTGGTGGATGGAAGTCAGAGCTAGCTGAAGGGCCTGGAGGAACTTAAAAAGATCTTGATTAGCCAGATCAGCTATTTTTTTTTCTCAGAAATCTTAGGAATAAGAGGAGGAGGTCTTCCACATAGAACTTTAAAGGGGAAACAACTGCAATATAGGGGTACATTGTGCACACAAGAGGGCAAAGGAAGGAGACTCACCCAGTTCTCACCAGTTTTTAATTCCATCTTAGTTATTACCATTTTTAAAGTCTGGTTTATCCTTTTTACTTGTCCTGAACTTTAAGGCCGGTAAGCACAATGTAGTTTTCAATCAATCTGCAAAGCTTGGGTTAGTTTTTGAGTTATCTGGGCTATAAAAGCCGGGCCATTGTCAGACGCCATGGATAAAGTGAGGCCAAATTGGGGAAACTGCTATCAGGGCTGACTCAAGACAGTAGGAAAAGCTATCTACCAGTACTCATTTCCTTAAAGTCCAGGCTTTTTTATTTTTGTGAACTCTATTTCTCAATGTTTTTCAGGCATAGTCCCCGGATACCAAGTGGTTTTCATTTGATGTGGTTGCTTAGGGTTTACCAACTGGCACTGAGGGCCTCTAAGGCTCACAGACTGAGTAAGCTTTGATAACTGAGGGATAAAGAAATGATCTCAAAAAGAGCAGTGAGTTTTGATCCTCCCATGTGAGTGAACTGATGAGCTTGTTGGATGAGCTTTCATCTCAAGACCTCGTGGAGGAGGACGCGAATATCAGGCAGTTGGTACCAGCCCCCAGGTATATCAGATTTTGCTTGGAGTTGAGCTGCCACATGTAAGTCATTTTGAGTGCAAAAGGGCTCTGACAGAGTGGGTGGAATCAGTAGCAATGCCGGGATTGTCTCAGTCCCCACTGGTTTTGTGGCTGCTTTTTGGGTAGCTGTGTCTGTTAGATTATTTAATAACCATATTCCTTGGCATCCAAATGGTAGCTAACAAATCCAAAACTTGGGGAGCATTTTTATATTTTGGCCCCCTGAAGTCAGTGAACCTCATTCCTGATAAATGGCCCCATGAACATGGGCAGTAGCAAATGCATATCTGCTATCAGTCTGAAAACTTGAGGGCCTCAGTGAGGGCAATGAGTTCAGCCCATTGGGCTGATGTTTTTGGCTCCAAGGTTTGTTCCCATAGAATCTGAGAGTCTGTGACAGCGGCTCCCACAACCTGCTTACCTTGATAGATGTGACTGCTGCCATCAGAGAAATATGATGGAACTCCGGACAGTGGTTCATCTGTCAAGTCTGGTCAAAGCCCCATGAAATGATCAGAGGGGCAAGGAGAGGTCATCATCAGGCAGCTGAGTATCTGGGTTTAAAGACACTGTCCCCTTGAAACTGATGGTAGTCAGATCCAGAAGTAATGCCTGATAGGCAGCCATCTGTCCGGTGAAGCTTTGATGAGAGTCTCCAGTGAATGAGAGGAGATAATTAAAAGTTTTTGTCCAAATGTCACCTTTTGGCCCATTTTCACCAGGAGGGCCACCGAGGCAATCATCTGCAGGCAAGGCAGCCATTGGGCTGCCACATTATCAAGTCTCTTGGAAAGATAGGCAATAGGCTTTTGCCATGGTCCTAAACTCTGGGTCAGTACTCCTTTTGCTATCCCTTGTTTTTTATCAACATAGAGGGAAAGAGGTTTTTGCAACTTTGACAGAGCCAGAACTGGAGCTTCTGTTAAGGCTGATTTCAATTGCTGAAAAGCCGGGTCTCATGAGTCTGTAATCTAAAGCAGGCAATATCCTATGGCTCCTAGAAATTCTCATATTTGCTTTTTAGTCACAGGAACTGGAATCTGTTGAATGGCTTGCACCAGCTGGGAGGAAAGAGTCAGTTCTAAGCAAACTCTAATAACTAACTGAGGGGCATTTCTTCAAATCTCTCAAGCCTTTACAATTTTTGCTTAATATCAGGTGCCGACAGTTACAAAGGTATTATCAATGGCCCTTGCCTTTTTAGGTGCTACCAGATCTACAGGTGTACAAATATAATAGGCCTCTAGCAATCTCTCCAGAAACCCCGAGGGAGACTCATCATCCAATTGTCTCACCTCTGCTACCTTGGACAAATTGGTGGGTTTTCTGGCAGCCCTTAAAGGCTTCTGAGAACAACTGGCGATACTGCCAGTCACCTTACCTCTGGTTGTCCAATCGGGGTGGGACAAAGGGAAAACACAGTTCTGGCATTCGGGATCAGAGGACAGGTTTTTATTTGGAATGCACACTGCTTTTCATCCCACAACATGAATGGTTTTTTTTTCTCTCTTTTACTGTAAACAAAACCTGTAAAATCTGCTGGCAGTCATCCCAAGTGGGGTGATGAATGGAGAAGACAAATTCCAAAAGAGAAATAAGGCCCTGTGAGTACTTAGAAAAAGGGGGGTGAGGAAGAGGAGTCCAGCAATTCTGAACGCTGATGG